CCTGTCATCTTCCAACTAATGAAGGCACCCCACTTTTTTTTTTGAATTTCTGATTTAATAAGTGATCCAGTGTTTTATTCACTAATGACCATGATATACACAGCGCGCCAGATCCCTTGGATTTGATTACTAACGCGTTTTAACTCTCATCCGTTGGTCCACATCTTTTTGATTTTTATTTTATTTTCTGATTTTTATATTTAATTCTTTTAAACTTCAAATAATCATAGAAAATTCATTTTTCGTCCAAAAAATCTAAAAAAATTATGAAAAATATTTTTGATTTTACTCTTTCTGATTTTTTTTCACAATTTTATTTTTTGTTTTGATATTATTTTATAAATTTCCACTTTATTTGAATTGTTTTAAATGTTTAAAAATAATTTTATGCATTTTTAAATTCTGAAAAAATTATGGAATGATCCAATGATATTGTGATAAATATTGGTGACCTTATTTATTTTTTATTTCTGACTTTGTTATTTTTTTTATTATTTTTGGTTTATTTTACTCATTTCTTTTAATTTTAAAAATAGTTTCTGACTTTAAAAAAATTACCAAAAATTTTATAAAAATATTTGAGTCCTTTTCTAAGTTTTCTATGGTCTTACTTTTTATTTCTTGATTAACTTGAACATAGTTGATATTTTTCTCTTTTATTTCTATTTTAAAACTTTTTTAAAACTTTTTTTAATGTATATATTAAATACAATATTATTTTGTGATTATTTTTTGGATGATCTTGGGTTAAATTTTTTATTATGAACTTTATTAACATCATTGGATCCATGGTGTTGAGTCTAACTCCATAAAAATGGATGAATGATTTTAATAATAGTTTGATTAAAATTTAGTTCAAACGTGGTTTGTATATTCTTCCCCACCCCTCTTCATCTTATCCCTTTCTTATGTACTAAGTGTTATTAGAGCATGATCTCTATATCATGTCTCAAAACAAATGCTGCATAGATTGCTATTGATTGGCCTCAAAATAGGTGTGACTTCTATATAAGTCCACTTACGATTACTTAACCTATGTTTGCAAGCCCAAGTATGTTAATTTGATCTCTTTGATCCAATAAACTTGAGATTCATTGTGTGGAGGCTTTGGTTCTAACAATCCTCTAATGGGTCTACAACACCTTTGGTCAACGTAGATCATTTAAACATCATTGATCATTAAATGGTACTTTTGAGGATTCCAAATGGATGATATACTTGACAAAAAGCAAATGCAACTTATTGTGTGGAGGCTTTGGTTCTACCAATCCTCTAATGAGTTCCAAATGCAAGTTTCAATATGGTCATCCAACTAACCACTAATTATTAATTTGTTCCACTTTATGCTTTTATTTTTTTATGCCTTCTGTACCATTTACTTTAAGCATTATTTCATGTTATTTATATTTTGCTCACTTGAGCATTTATATTCTTGTTATTCTTATTTTTCTCACTTGAGTCTTTCTTTTCTTTTTCAAGATGCCTAATAATCAACATGAACCCTAAAAAGGCTTTAATGATGCTTGGACTATTTGGTTACTATCCTTGGCATTATGGAGCATTGGACTTCTTGGAATTAGGATTAGAAACCTCGGCCTATGTTGGAGACTTTGAGGCCTTAATTGATATTTTGTCTGGAGCTCTTGAGGTTTACCTCAAGAAATTGGGTTGTTTCTTTATTTTGTGTGCAGGTTATTATGATTACATTCTTTGTTTGTAATCTGGAATTCACCCGTATACAACCGTTACTCTGCCCAATTTTTTGAAGACTTAATACACTTGAAGTTTGGTTCTCAAGAGGTCTAGTATCTTTGCTTGTTTAGGTTCAATCTAAAGAATGGGAATTACATCTTGACTCATAATGTCAAGTATTGGCTTCTTCTTGGTTGGATGGTTCTTATCCCTAGCTTTTACCTTATGCTTTAGGATAGTCTCTTCTTCTCCTCCCATCTTCTTTAATTTCAAAAATCTTCTCCCTTCTTTTGAAAACCCTTCTTGTTTCTAAATTTGAACCACTTTCATAATAAACTTGGACTTAGGTCCATGCATTTTCAAAACTTTTTTTCGTAAATATATTTTAATCAACTTAATAATACCTTGACATTTTTTGTGAGAAGACTAAAAGTCAATCAATCTCATTTCAAACCATTTTTCCCCTTTGGCTTATTTTACATTTTAAAACTTTTCTCAAAAGATTAGAATCTTGTCAATCCTGGTAGTGATGCAAACAACTATACTTATAAAATATGTAGTGAAGAGAGATATTTTCCACTTGGGTGTTGAGTGAGGCATTGTTGATTTTAAAATCTAAGCCATATCCTCCACTTTAAGATGATGCAAATTCTCCTTTCTCATGATTGTGGGTAGTAAGTATGTTTTTCACACGGACAATGACGATGATGTCTTATCTCATAAAATTAACCAACCCACTTGTGTTTTAAATTTTTTTTAAAGGTGAACTACGTGTACCCTGATCCCTTATTGCACGAAAGGTGGTACGTAGGCACTAAAGGTTCGCAACCGCGACTGGTGCAAAAATCATAAAAAAAAATATATTTCTTTTCTCACCTCCAGCATCTATTTTACATACAACATTTTATAGCCAAAATATACAAGTTTTTCAAAGAGGTCCTTGCGGAGTACCATAGATGTTTATGGTGATAATACCTTCCCTTTGCATAACCAACCCCCTTACCTTGAATCTTTCCCCCTCTTTTTGGGTTACTCTCTCTTTTCCCATTCCTTTGGAAACAATAAAGCGTGGTAGCGATTTTTATTTTGATTTGTATAAGTCTAGTCAATCCAATGGCTTAGTCTTAAACATTTTTACCGCTACAGGCACCTTGGTGTTATGGTGTTGTTCAAAGATAACGTATTGATGAAGTTGCGGAAAAAAAGATGAAGAGTGATGCAATAGCGATTGAAGAAGATTGGAATTTTCTCAAGTTTGGTGAGTTTTTCTGTGTATGAGTCATGATGAGATCAGAGATTAGAGAATGATCATGGTGAGGGGGTTGCAGAGGGAGTTTTCTTCTCTTTATTTTCTGGTGAGTTTTTGAGATAAGGTGATTGAAGAGGAATGAAAGAGGTGGAAGATGATGAAGGATCTTTAGAGATTATGCCGAGAGAGTGAGGTTGAAAGGCCAGTCCTCTTTTTCTGTTACTTTCTGTTATGCCTCTCAACTTTCTCCTCTCTCCCGTTTACTCTTATCTCTTTTCTGTTATTCTATTTTTTTTCTTCTGTCAGTTGGATTTTGTTTTCTGAAGTTGGTTAGAAACGGTTAGGAGTTAATTAGGTAATTCAGTTTGTTTTCTGTTAACAGTTAGTTGTTAGGGATTATGACAGTTAGGAATTAGTTGGTTAGCGGCTGTTATAAACCGTTACAGGATAGTAACAAATTGGTTTTGATTTCAGTTTTTGGAAGGTTAATTAGGAAGGTTAGAAACAGTTAGGAAATGGTTAAGGAATTATGTTAGAAGTGTTTAGGAAATTAGTTGGAATTCTGTTTGGTGGTTTGTTTTGACAGTTAGAAGATGGTTTAGAAAATAGTTAGGGGGTTGTTAATTCTGTTGGAAAGTCATAGAAAATTTCCTATTAAATTGGTTTTTAACTTCCTTCCTTGAGCTTAGTGCAGTGCCGGTTTTAAATCGGTTTGGGGTTGTTTTTGCAGGTTGTGGGAGCATAGTGCCATGGCCTTGATTAAAGAAAATTGAAGCGATGCGAAAGAATCTTGAAGGTCAGTGGTTCGGTAATGAAGGTGGAAACATGACTATATGAATAAGTCTTTATTTATGGAGTTTGAGAACCAATGTCGCATGGAGATGACTGAAGAGATTCTTGTAGTAAATTGAAAAGACTTATGTAACTTAGAGAATATTGTCACCTCTTGTAATTTTTCTTTGTGAATTGTAACTTGTGCCTATAAGTTCTTTGTAAGGACTATAGTTTTTTGTATTTCTTGTATGAATTATAACTATGAATATAGTTGGAATCAAATTTGAATAATGAAGGAAACTTTATCTTGAAGCTTTTTCATGGATAAATCTTTGTATGGAACATGGTGAGAACCTTGGAACCAAGCTCGTATACTTTTCATATCTCCACACTAATTAAATACAAATTGAGCACTCATGTGACATGCCTGCACTTTTTAAGAACCCTAATTCAAGTTTGAATTTCCAATTCACAACGCCTTGCCTTTGATGCACCATTTGATTGAAGAAAACCCCAATTATTGAAGGACGGATAAGTGAAACTTTGATCCCTAGCTCAAACTTTAAGATGTTTCCTTGCTTGATAAAGACTCAGTGCATCAAACCCTGGTATTGACTTGTAACGCAAGTAATTAGGAGAAGTCTTCAACTGAAATGCAAGCATGAGGTATTGAAGTAAAATTGATCAGGGTAAGCACATAATCAACCTTAATCCAATGAACCTCAATTGAAGCATAATAGATGAAAAGCTCTGATCTTCAATCAAACATAGAGAAATAAACTTTAATAATCTCGTAGCCTAGTGAAGGATGAAGTGTGTAATGACCACAATCATAAACCTTAATTCCACAATTCACTACTTGTAGAAAGAACCAGATGAGCCAGCTTTATTGGATGAAACCTCAAATCAACAGGAACCCTAATTTGTAAGATTATTGATCCCATGCTAAGTTACTAATCAATGATGCATGATGTGTTAAATGACCTAATGGAGGGTATGCAGATGGAATGAGAAGCGCAAAATGCATAAACCAGATAAAAGTGAAAGGGTAGGACAAATTTGGGGTATTACACTATTGAGAAAGGCATTTTTCACATTCATCTGATAAACTTTGAACTTCAGAATACATGACAATCTTAGTAATAATATGCTAGCTCCAATATGGGAAATATGATCAAATGTTTTAGAATCATAAAAAATTCTATCTTCTTTAGCAGGTAGCATAGTGTTTCCTGATTTGTCAAGAACAACTTGCTCCACGGCATGACCAATGAGATCAAAATCTTCATCTTATGGGAGTCATATCATCTATAGATTGTGTTCCTTTGAGATAAAATCTATATACCTTTCTATTAGCATCACAAACCAGAAGTAAGCTTTCATCCTTACTTATTACATCTTCACATGTCGTCTCCACATCATCTATTGCATGATCATAGTTATTAACAACACCATCATTGGCTATAACAGTATCAACCTTAACATCTTCATGGACATGATCACCATTCTCCTTATGCATTTGAGACTTTGTTAACATGTCATACAGGATGTCTAGAACATCTTTATCATCATCCTGATTTCCCATATTGGTTTCATGGGTCTCCTCACCAAAGTCCTTTTTAAAGAGGTGATGCTTTCTTATAGGCCCATAAAAGAATGAGACATCAATCACATTTCCACCAGCAGCTAGATCAGACTTATAAATGTGGGGAATGTTATAGAGAACAATATTGGGAACATGCATCTTACGCCAAAGGTTCAACTGACTCATATGAGAACCAATATCAAACTTACAATTATGTTTTTGGTTAATCAAAACTCCATAGATATGAAAAGGAACTCCAATAGGAAGAATTATGCCATAATCACTATTCTTCTTTGGCTTCTTCTTCTGAATCATTGTAGGTTGTTCAATGTTGGAAGAACCTCCAGCTTGACTATCAACCTTCACTTTAACGACAACTCTTTAATTAAGTCTCATAAAGTCCATATCTAGTCATTTATAAGTAAGAGTAAGATGTTAAACCATCTTGTATGACATCTTGATTTGCTTCTGAAGTTGGAAAACTCTGTAACTAATTCATTCTTCAACATTGAGATTAGTACACATATGACAGCTTTCTCTACAACTACCCTCAAGTTTTTTGTACCATCGTTTAGTTTCAGTTTCTAACATGTCTTCCATGAAGTATGAAATATGGTCTTCAACATCATGCTCTACAGTGGCATCCACCATATTCATCTTTACATATTTATTTCTCTTATGGCTATCACAAAATGTAACTTAGTTTCTTTCTCCTATCAACTTCTAGTTGCAACTACTTTCAACATAACAATCTTCATAAGAGAAAGTTTTGTGGAAGGAACAAGCAACAAGAATATTAGGCTTATCACACCAAACTTGTTGATGATGCCTTTGTAACTTTTCATTCCACCGAGGATACAAATGTTGATGGTGTGGTTGTTTACCATATAACTTAAAATAGTACAAGGGAGTGAAGGAACTTAATTAATGTACGGGTAATCATGTTTACTAAATGTTAATACATGTTACCTAATATTCTGCATTTTGTTTTCTGGAAAGGATTAATAAACCTTTTTCTTTAAATTTGATGGCTCACAAGAATGCATAACCTCTTCCATGTCTTTGAAGGTTACAATATTGTTTGCTTGATTAGATTCACCTTCTTCATCATTACTGACATTGGAGTTTCTTCTTTGTTTCCTTGGAAAACTTGAGCATTGAGCTTGAATATGTCAAAAACCTTTGCAATTAAGACATTGGATCCCTTTTCACATGTAGGAATAATTAAGATTTTGTATTTCACCATCCTTTTCTTTATGTCGAGTGTTATTCACATTGGTAGGGACATTATTCTCAGATATCTTGTCAAGTTGTCTCATGACTTTACTAAAGATCTTAGCAAGCCCGAGACTTTCTTCAAAAATACATTCTCATTTGTCTTCACAATCTTCATGCCTTCCCTTGGCTCTATTCTTTGGAGGATAAATTATCTTTGATCCATGAACTTCTCCTTCTTCATTTAAATTCTCCATCTTGAACAAAATAAGAACCCTATAACTCACCCAAACATAATAGGGTTCTTGCTCTGATGCCAATTAAAATTTTGTTCCTAAAAGTACATATGTTTGACACGATGTTGGGACAACAAGTCTAACTGGTTTAAAACTTATAATAGATCCAGGTCACAAATGTCAGGCATGACGTCTGAGAAATTGTACACCAGAAAACTAATTTTACTACCAAGTTATAACAGCTTAACTTATACAAGATGATGAAGTATAAAATCAGTCAAAACATAAAGAATTGGTAACCCAATTTGGTGAAACCTTACCTATGTTTGAAGATCACTCTACCCAAGAAAGGAAATTCGCTACTTTGAATTAGTACAATTAGTCTTATAGGAATACCAACCCCGTGAAGTTCAATGCCACTTTCTAATCCTAGTGACTTTCTATTTAGGGCTCCCCCTAAATATGATAACACATCTCACTTTCTCTCAATCATTAATTTAAAGTGGTCAACTTAATCATTAACACAGATATTGTTGAATTTACAACTCAACTAAGACAAGCAACAACTATGCCAAATTACTGAAGCAATACTGTGGTGTACATCAAACACTTTATTCTCAAGCTTATATAATTAGTGTCTTGGAACAAAGTTTTACAAACTCGACAAAAAAAATCAAATTCCATGTTATAAAATATGAAGGGTGGTACTAGAGTAGTGCACAAAAACAACACAAAGAAATACTCAAAAGATAAACCATAACACAAGGAATCTACAAAACTTGAAACCTCAAATGTGAGGTATGAGTCTCCTTAAATAGAAATGCAATTATGTATTTTTCTCCTTTCGATTTTTGATTTAATTTGTCTAGAATAATAGCAAATATTGTTGGATTTAATTTTCTCTATAAAATCTCCAACAAAATATATGATTTTTTATATTTCAAATTCAAATTTAAATCTGATATAATCTTCAAAGTTGTCAAACAAATCACACAAACATATTTCTAAAGTATAGCAACAAATATGATTGAATATCAACCATAATTTATCTCCAAAAATGAAATAACATTGGACTGCTGAACTAGGGCTAGATGTTACACACGTTCTGGAACATCGTTTTCCACATGTGTTTATTTTTTATACCAAAACTACAACAACATTGGCATGTTGATAGAGACCATATGTTATAACACACATGCTAGAACATTGAGTTCCACATGTTACACTAGAACATCCAATATAACTCTCTTCACATAAATCTTATTTATAGAGTAGATCTTGGACTAAATATTTCTTCAAGGTACATCCAATCAAATCTTCTTTGACTAAATCAAATCAAAATCTTTTCCAACTTGATTTTGGATTAACATCACAAACTTCTTCCCAAAATAAACAAACTTATGCATCTTCTAAAGAAGTAAACACCATATATTTTCTAAAGGAAATCTAAAGATAGTAAGAACCCAAGTGTTATGCCAAGATGATACACAAACACATTTTAAGCCTCTGGCTTAACAAGTTTTGTCAAGTTTTTTAGCTACATGTAGAACCTCTAGCTTAACTAGTTATGTCAAGCACCTTAGTTGAACAACTCTTGTTTAATTAGTTCTGTCAACAATTTTAGCTGAACAACTCTTCTTAGTATCAAACAAAATCACACTCAGATGTTGGAACACATACCAGAACATCTTGTTCCACATGTTAGCTAAAGTACATCTTGTAGACATGTTGTTTTACCTAGCTAAGACAGATGTTATAGTATCTAGTAGTAGACACGATCATTTAAGTTATAAGTGATATAGAAATAAAACTGCAAAAGGATAAAAAACACATATAGTTGTTAACCCAGTTCGCTGCAACATCACTTGCATCAGGGGGATAACAAGCCAGGAAGGAATTCCATTATTAGGAGTATTAGTTCAAAGCTAAACTCCCTCGTTTAAAACTTCTTTCCTAATCCCTACCTAATGCTACTTCTACCTAGGAACCTCCTAGATATGAGAAATCATCATCTCATTCTCTAAATCACCTCAGTGATATCTAACAGTCCCAATCCCAGTGACTACAATAAATACAACTCAATTTAGAATATTACACTTCAAATACAAAAACTTAAACTCTTTCATAAAAGCTTCGAGTAAGAACAATAACTTGACTAACAGTCAAGCAACAATCACCCGACCACATAGTATCAAAAGATATATGGGTGGCTTACAAACTACATAAGAAACTCTCAAAACCTAAGACTTATGCTTCCCCTAATTTTACAATTGTTGAAAACTTAAATTACATTAGGTTAGGATTCCCATTTAAATACAAATATGCAGTCCATGGGCTTCGATATTCTGAGTCCAAAAGTTTCTTATTCCATAAGCTGAATGATGCACTAATTGTATAACAAATCTCCTTAAATCTTGCAATAACCAATACATAGTTTCCTAAATGGTTTCAAGGCCCAATCTAGTAACTTTTGCACAATTAGAGATATAAATCTGTTCTACAAAAAATCTTATTGACCAAAAATATATGCTATATATCCAAAGGAAATATAACAGAATCAAATCAAATCAGTCAAGATTTAAAAACAACAGCGCAAGCCTGCTTCATATTAGAACATAATGTTACAACATCTTGTTCAACATCTGGTCAAAGCCATGTTTTAGCATAATGTTGTCAATCCATAAAACCACGGTATTAACAATCTCCCACATTTGGTAAATTTTGGATAAAACAACCAAAGACCAAATAACATGGGAAGAGGAAAAAATCCAGAGAACGCCAACACAAGATACATGCTAAACATGTAAACTATGTACATGAGGAAGAAGATAAAAGACACTCCCTCTCAAACATAATCCCAATTTACCACCCTGGACTTCTCAAGTGAATACTGATAGGACCAGGCCTCAACTACAAATAACTCAGAGCACAAGACACAACCATGCTCATAACTCAAACCACAAGACACAACAAAAGACTCAGAACAAAGAAGACATAGACTAAACAGACTTATACATGATGTTAAAACATCCTATGAAACATCCTTGCAAACCAACTGCAAGAACAAACTCAAGACTCACATGATAAAGAATCATGATCCCCCTAAAATGTTACATATAACAAGCAATAACACTTGACTTAGACCTTGACCTACTACTACTTTTCTCCCCCTTTTTAGCCAAAAACTGACATAACCGGGTTGAAAAGAACTTGACAAAAAAAAACAAAACAAAAAGATAAGAATGAAAACAAGAAAGAATTGATCCAAAACACAAAGAAAACCCAAAAGAAATTGACTCAATAATATGATGCAGAACTAGAAGCATCAAAATGACTTAAGGGAAAACAACTCCCTTAAGCAAGACTGACTCAATAAAAAATACACAAAAAATCCAAAGAAACAAAGAGTAAGTCTAAGTTCTCCAAAAAAAATAAACTCAACAGACAATAATGAATAGTGGAGGATCTTTTAATTTTGGGTACATGCAGTAGTACTAATAGAATATGGGTAAATCATGGGTCGTGAAAGCATCACCAAAAGTACCTCTCTCAATAGAGAAACTCAGAAACATATGTTGTTCTCATTAACAGAGTAGACCAGACTCTTTGAAGACTTTACAGACAATAGATTTACACAAAAGAAAATCATATGTATCTTTATATCTACCAGGACCTTCACTTTGCATTGAACCAACCAGATCCATGTAATAGGTTCTAGAGCTTTTGTAATTGTCTGATGTTGCACCTTCTGGTGTGACATCTTAACTTCTTCTTTCTTGACCACCAAGTAAAAGGATAAACAACTAAATACTTGTGAAATTCACAAATAGAAATTGTTCTTAAATCCTCAGAAGAACTTCATAC